CCACCCCACCTCCCCACCCCCGCTGGCTGGGTGCACCCTTGGGTGGACACGTTAGGTAGCAGTGAGGAGCCCAGGCTCCGGGAGGAAACGGAGCGTGGGCGACTGGCTGGAAGCAGAAATATGGTATCTCCAGAGGTTTTGATTTGCTATCTTCATTTTGCAAGGAATGGGGATTTTTTTTTCTTTTCAAAAAGCAGTGGATTTCCTTGAATTTTAGACCTTTCACAAATATTTTTTTAGGAGAAAAAAGAAGGAAAAAATCCCCCACAAAATGCCTGTCGCAGCTACTCACTTCCACATTGAATCACGGACACAAAACCACAGCTATGTGGCTAACAAAGGAACTATGTGTTTTCATATCTTGTTATTGGAAATCATTTAGCAATCTTCACTATGTCATCTGCAGACAGACAGACAAATAGACGTGCAGACACACCCCTCTGGGTCCTAAGCCGCCAATCTTACAACCTCGGTCATCAGATAACTTTGCATTTCACCCATTTTCCCTTTCTAATCCTTTTCTGGGAAATTACACAGCAAGGCTTAAATCTTCCTCCTCAGCCCCTCTCCAGAGGTGGGGTGTGTGTGTGCACATGTGTGCCTGCCAGTGATTGGAGGAGGAATGCTGAGACATTGATTCAGTTAATTCCACAAGTGGAAACAAGTATACATTTCACAGTCCCTTTTTTATTAATATTATCATAATAGCACTTTACTTTGGTAAAGTGATTTTCACCTGGGAAGCTTACAGTGCCTTTTCTGACAGTGGCAAATTAATTAACTGATGGCAGATTTACAGATTGCATAACTGGAAAAACTACTGGACCCATAAATCAGAAACTTCCTCTGCATCCCAGACAAGGGGTGAAACCTGATATATATTTGAAAATCTTGAGCTCAAAAGGAGAATTCACAGGGCCTGAAAAATCTCCATTATGATTTTTGAGGCATGTTCTCTCTGCACAGCTTTCCACTCTCTCTCTCTCTCTCTCTCTCTCTCTCTCTCTCCACACACACACACACACACCCCACCCCAGAGGGCTACATTCACTTTCACTGAGCAGCCACAGTTCCGTACAAAGCAACCGGATGGGATGGGCTTCCCCCTGGGGCATCTGAAAAAGAGCATTGACTGTCTTTCTGTTACCTCCTGGCTTCATCTCTCCCTAACCTTTCCTTTCAAACAAAAATCCTAGAGGACTTAGGTCAGTACAGCCACAAGCTCAAAATGTTCGTTGTTACTACTTTTTTTTGTCGGATGCTGGAAACTGTATACATTAACGTTTTAATGCCCCAACAACTCCTCCACGCTCTTGCCAGCTTTCTGGAGTTTCCTGAAAAGACACAAGATGCGTTGCCTGACCCAGTCCTCGGCAGCTCCCACGCCAAGCTTGCTGCTCTGCACTGGCCTGAGCTCACCTGCTCTCGGGGCTACTTAGCAGAATGGCTACGAGCACGGGTTCCAGAGTCTTGAGTGGAGCTGGGCTAGAATGGCCCTTTCCGTCAGTTTCCTCCTGGTGGAGTATCCTCCTCATAGGATCCTTGTGAGGAATGGTTAAGGTGCTGGAGATCTTCCACTTGCCTCTGTGGACCTTTCTCTGCCCCGTTCTGGACCCTAGGAGGCTCCTTCACCCTCTGTCTTCCAGTCCTGTTCAGCCCACATGGGACCCCAGCAAGAGGGCAGAGGGCAGCAGACGGAGTGGAGGTATTGATCCTCCAGTTCCCTCCTGACAGGCCACTGTGGGTAGTGGTGGCCCTATTCCTCTGCCAGAGGTCACAGCCCTGTTGTGGTCCTCTCCTGTGGCTGGAGCTACTCTGGGTTCCAGTAACCTGTCTCTTAGACCTGCAGGGCTAAGGGCTTCCCTATACTCTGCTTCCTTTGTTGTTTCCTTTGACCCTGTCCACACCTTTGCAAATAGACCCTTTATCAAATTGTCCTCACTGAGTGTGCCATCTGTTTCCTGCTGGAACCCTGACTGATAACAGAAAAGAAAGAGTCTCAGCTATCAAGTATTGAGCCCTTAGCTATGTGACTCAGCACTTTATCCACTTTGACTCATGGAAGTGAAGAGATTCACACAACATCAAGCGGCTGGGGAGCAACAGAATCAGATGGAGCCGAGGTCTGACTCATGACCACTATGCCGTATGGTCCCCAGTATCAAATGAGGTGGTGCCTGTAAAGTGCTTTGCACAGTAGGGCCGGCTGACTCAATAAAGCTCCATCAATGGTAGGTTAAAATAACAAGTATACCACACTCAGAAAACCCACAGTCCTAAATTCTACTCCAGCGTAACGCTAGCCCCGCCCTAACCACAGTCCTAGGGTTGAACCCTCCTCGTTCTAACACCATACTAAAGTTACGCTCCAGTCGAACCGAACCACCACCCTACTGTGAACTAGAAAGTCACCTCGACCACAACCTTCATCCCACCCTTCGTAACCCAAACATTCCTCACTGTAACCACCGAGGGAGGCTAAGATCAGGGCTGTGGGGAGAATGGGGAGTCTCTCTGCCCTCCGCACCTGGGAGCTTGCCCCCTCCCAGCGGCAGGAACGTCCCACATCCCACTCCATCTGTCCTCCCCTCGTTGGACTCAACACAACTGGCCAGAGGCATTTGTGCAACATCCACTTGCCTCATGTAACTGAGCTGGTGACTTTGGTGTGGGGAGAACCAGGAGGGCAGAGCACCTACACGAGGCCTGGGACAGAGCAGAGGCGCCAGTAAATCCTGTTGGTGGTGGTGACGAGAAAGGAGAATTAGAAGACGAAGCTGCTCCTGGCTTCTGCATCACTTGGCTGTTGGCTCTGGGCAAACAGGAGGTGAACAGCTCTCATCTCAGAGATCTGTAGAGGGCCGGGGCCAGGCCTGGGCTGGGAGGGAGGCCCTCTCTGGAAGCCAACCTAGGGAGGGTCCTGATAACCCTCAGCTCTGGGATTATCCTAGAAAAGGGAGTCAGGCAAGTCTCCATCAGAGATTTCGGGGCCACCTCAGGCCAGATGTCCACTTTCAAGCTTCAATACGAGAGGGAGGAAGAGAAGAGAAGCATGCAGGAAGCAGACACCATTTCCCTGGAATCTGCCCACTTCACTGCATGGGGAGCGGAGAGGTGTTAGAAGGCCCTGGGCCCCTTTCTCCCTTGAGCATGAAGAGGCCTGAGCTTGGCCTCTTCATCGACCCAGAAGTGTCTGCCCTGGGCCAAGCATGGCGGAAGGAAGAGGCTTTGCAGGCTCCACTGTTTGGAGAGAAGGCACACCGGCCCCTCCCTCCTCACGGCCTCTGTCGGGCTCTCTCGGCCTACAGCAAAAGCGAAAGCATTGCAAGACTGCGTCCATCCAGAGCCTGTGTCTTTTTGTTTTTACACTCAAGTACCCTAAGGCCAGCTGTGGCCCTGAGCTCCGTGGGCCTCAGGTATTTGTGTGGGTTAGAGAGGTGCCTGTTAATACTCGACAAAGTCCAGAGGTCCACCTCCCTTTCGGAGAAACCTAGGAGGGGCCTCAGCAGCCAAACCCAGCTGGAGAGGACTGCCTTGAAGCAACATGCTTTGCGGGGGAAATGGGAGACATTTCCCTCTTGGGAAGAAGCCAGGTCCAGGGTCACCACATACAGCTGCACAGGCTGTGCACTGCACAATTCTTGGAGTACCTGTCATAGAGACTATGAATGTGACAGACATCTCCTGGTGTGTGTCCAGGGACCGAAAGGTCCAGCACACACAGCCTGCCTCCTTCTCCTCCTCGGTGGAAATGGAATGCTTCAGACCCACCCCGTTACTCCAAGCAGTCTCTGCTGGGCAGGGATGGGTGGGGCTGGCAGGGGTTAAGTGCCAAGGAACCCTACACAAACCTTAAAGTGGCCGTGTTTCTAGAACCCTCAGCAAACAGCAGGGAGGGGGACAGGGTGGTGAAGGGAGCTCTCAGCTGAGACACAGTTCTCTTCTACTGTCTTCAGAAAGCAGCAGCAGGGCTTCTGTGGCTTCAGATTTGGGAAAACAAAAGCCTTTCCATTTGTTCTGGCTGGAGGCCCATGAGTGAGCATCTCCCTCCGACTACTCCCCTTTGAGCCCTCCCTCTTCCAAACCCGCAGCCCCAGGGAAGAGCAGGCATGGGACTCTTCTAAGGCCCAAGAGATAGAAGAAACTGGGAGGAGACCCCTTTATAGTTGTTGCAGCCCCTGACAGACTCCTGGAACTCCTAAGGGTCTGCTAAGCCCTGCTCTGGCTGTGGTCCAGTCACCCTTAGGAGAAAAGCATTGCTCTCTGCCTGCCTGGCTCCAGACCCCCGAGACCAAGGGGCACAGGGTAAGCAGGTACCCACCTGTTGGGAGGATTGGGAGAGCCCCCTTCCTGATCAACAACTGCCAGGGTATGGGCTGAGTGTCAGCTCAGAAGGGAAGGGACCTGAGACCAACTTTCTTTGCTCCAGGCAGCAACAGAGGATACATGGTGACAGGGATGCTCATTCAGTAGATAGTTGTTTATTTATTTATTGAGGGCTTACCATTATTTATTGAGTACTATTCTAGGAGCTGGGGATATGTCAGTGAACAAAACAGTTCACACTGTACTTGGGGAAAAACAGTACACAATAAACATAATAATTAAATTATATGTTATGTTAGGAAGCGGAAAATAGAAAGCACTGTGGAAATTAAAAGGTGAACCAGATGAGGGCATCGTCAAGTTGGGGGTTTATAATATTAAACGATAGGAAAATAGGAGACATCTCCCTCCTGGGAAAGAGCCAGTTTCAGGGTCACCACATACAGTGGCACGGGTTGTGCACTGCACAACTGCGCTGTACCCGTCCCAGAGACTATGATGTGAAGCACATCCCCTAGTGTTGTGTCCTGTGGCTTAGGCTAATTCTAAGGTTAAAACCTTACAAAGGTGGTCAGGGAGGGCCTCAGTGAGGAGCTGCTCCTGAAACTGACCCAGGCATGTACAGAAGGCATAAGTAAGTATCCCAGCCCACTGTCAGGACTGCAAAATAACAGCAATAACCAGCATTTGCAAGGCCCATTACAGTTCACAAAGCAGTCTTTCACCCACATTGTTTTAGTGGGTGAAACCTCCCAGAGAGGAAAGAATGATCCTTCCCTTTCTACAAATAGAGACATTAAGGCTTAGTGAAGTTAAGTGGCTTGCCCAAGGTCACGAGGTTAGTTAAGTGGCCTAGCTTGGAAACCAAATTGGATATTCTAAATCTTTTCAAAATAGTATAGTGAAAATCCTGAGGGTTGGGGAATTCCAGAAAAACCCCAGGGGGCAAGCTTGGGGCTCAGAGTTATAAAAACAAATCAGAAAAATAGAAGATTAAAAAAAGAAAGAAAAGAAAATGAAGGAAGGCGTTCAACCCCCGGATGTCCTGAAAGCTTGACTCAGTCAGGACTGTAGGGTTGACTCAACCCAGCACAGAGGCACCACTTGGTGGCCCTGAGGAAGCGGGTGACGCAGGATGAAAGATGTAGGCTGATTAACCCCACTGCAGCCTTGCCAAGGAGGACTTGAGGCTTACCGTCAGGGAGAGCTAAGGTCTGCCCTGGTAAAAGGCATCACGTGTCCTTGTAACGACCTTGGAAGCGGGTAAAAGGGGAGTAAGCACATTTCACCATTGGGGATGGAAAATGGCCAGGCTGGAGGCCAGAGTCTGAGACCATTAACTCTCGACCTCAGAGAAGATCCACTTGTTGCTTGTGATTTACAAATATGGAAACTGAGGCCCAGGGAGGACAAGGGACTTTTCCAAGATTTCCTAGCATGAGTTGGTCTCTCATCAGGTCCCAGGTGTATCGGAGAATAGCCTTGGGTCCGAGGGACTGGAATAAGGAGGAGGGAGGACCTACAGGGGATTATGTGGCCCAGAGGTGCGAGCAAAGTCCTGTGGCAGCATGCTGGAGCCCAGAGCGGAGGAAGGGAGTGGGAGGGAGGTGGCCGCAGCAGCTGGAGCAAGGCTCAGAGGACCCCGACAAGCCTTCAGACTGGCCCAGAGTCAGGATCTCCTGGGTTCCCAGGGAAGGCCCACCATCTAGCTGCCAACCCTCGTCCTGCCTCAGTTTCCCCATCTATAAGCCCAAATTGTGGGTTGGAGAAGAAAACCCCTTCTGGCAAGCGGGGCATCTCACTGATTTGCCATGGGCATGGGGGAGTAGGCAGGCATGGTAAGACATTTCACGTTTTTCGGACACCCTACTGACCTCTCTATGTGCGTTATTTCAGTGAATTCTCGCAACCACCCTCTGAGATGAGCATCCGTTTTCCCACTTCAGAGAACCTGAGTTTCAGTGAGGCGAAGCGACTTGCACGACTAGTTTGTGAGGACACTAGGGTTTAAATACTACCTGACTCCAAAGCCCAGCGCTTCCCCGGCACACACGCCGGGGTCGCCTCCTTGCACCTGCTGCCCTCTCCCCAGGTACCTCACTTGATTCTAGGTCATTCATCTCCTGGGCAAATGCCTTGCCGTTCTGTCAGGAAGGATGCCTGGGTCCCCCCTGCGGCGGGTCCTGGTGCAGACTGGCAGAGACCACCCCTTGGGGCAGAGTCCCCGCACCCCCTGCAGGAGGCCTGGCAAGGCCTGGGGGTGAGGGGAGGCCGCACTCCGGCAGGAAACCTGCGGCCTCACCCTCCGCCACAGCAGGTTAAAGGTCACACATTGGGAAGCCCATGAGGGCCCGAGCGGCGACGATGTGGGGCTGAACAATGCCGGGTCCTGCTGGGGAGGCGAGTCCTATGCCACCCACCCGTACCCAGTGGCCTGGTGCCCACCCCCAAGGTCAGGCCTGCGGCAGGAGCTGCACTAGTGCCCCTGCCCCTCTTCCCTCTCCCCACTGACAAAGGACCCCCCGAGAGGCCGGCCACCCCCACCTCAGAGCCTTGTCAGCAGAATGGGGACATTGGGAACCCACTGCAGGGCTTGTGAGAGTAAAGGAGAGACCGCGGGGAGACAGCCAAGCTGCCCTCAGCCGGGTTGACTCCACTCTACTCTGGGCCCATCATGTTTGAGGTGCTGGAGATACACTGGCAAAGAAAACAGATAACAGCCCTGTCCTCCTGGGCCTGACATTTTACTGAGGTAAGAAATAAATACGTAAGTAAAATACACAAGACGTTAGTGCTGTGGAGCAAAGTAGCTGGATAGGAGTAGGGAGTGTTTGCGGGCGTGCGGTGTAAGATCAGGTGAGCATAGGTGGGGTTCCCACTGAGAAGAGAAGACCTGGAAGGGGGAAGGAACCAAGCCATGTGTGTATCTGGGAAGAGGGTTTAATGTCAGCTGAAATGGGTCCCCGACCCCCCAAAAGATTTCTTGAAGTCCTAACTGCCAACCTATGAATATGAACTTATTTGGACATAGGGTCTTTGCAGATGTAACTAGTTAGGGTTAGAGGAGATTATACTGGATTAGGGTGGACCCTAAATCCAATGACTGGTGTCCTTATAAAAAGAATACTCCCCCAACACACACACACACACACACACACACACACAGACACACAGACACACAGACACACACACACAATATGTGATGACAGAGGCAGAGATTAGGGTGATGCAGCTACAAGCCAAGGGACACCAAGGATTGCAGGGAGCCATCAAATGCTAGGGCAGAGGCATAGGACAGATTCTCCCTCGGAGCTTCCCGAAGGAACAATCCTACCAACACTTTAATTTTGGGGTCTGCCCTCCTGAACTGTGAGAGAATACATTTCTGTTGTTTTAAGCCATCCTGTTTGTGGTCATTCACTATGGCAGCCCTAGGAAAGGAACACAGGGCTCCAGGGAGGGGGGACAGCAAGTACAAAGGCCCTGAGGTGGGAGCATCTCCAGCATATCTGAGGAAAAACCAGTTGGCCAGTGTGGCAGAAGCAGAGTGAATGAGGGGAGCGAGTGGTGAGAGCTGATGTTGGAGATGTCAGAAAGGTTTTGGGGGCCAGATCATTCATGTAGGGCCGTCCTTGTGGCAACCCCTTGATAAGAGGAGCTATTACACTGCAGATGGAGGGTCCCAACTGGTGTGGGCTGCAGTGTATGGGTGACCCCCGTGATCTTTGTTCCCTGGTATTATGCCTTTGAATATGTATATAGATGGCAAAAGGAAATCAAGGCTGCAGGTGGAATTACAGTTGCTAATTAGCTGACCTTAAAATAGGGGAGAGTGTCCTGGGTTATCAGGGGGCCCATGTAATCATGGGTTATCAGGGGGCCCTTAAAAGTGGAAGGAGGCAGAAGAGTCAGTGAGAGATTCAGCTGAAGAGGAAGACAGAGGGCAGAGTTAAAACACGAAGAGTTCACCCTCTGTTGCTGGCTTTGAAGAGAGAAAGGTGGCCACAAGCCAAGGAATGTGGGTGGCTTCTAGATGTGATGGTCCTCAAGTGGCAGCCAGCAAGGAAGTGAGGCCCTCAGTCCTACAACTGCAAGGAAGTGAATTCTGCCAACAAACAACGTGAATGATCAAGAAAACAGATTCTCCCTAGAGCCTCCGGGAACTCATCCCTGCTGATAGCTTGACTTTAGCCTGGTGAGCCCCGTGTCAGATGTTTGACCTACAGAACTGTGGGATAATACATGTGCATTGTTTTAAGCAGCTAAATTTGTGGGGTGTGCAGGGAGGAGGAGATGGAGAAGAGAGAGAGACCGACGGGGACAGTAAAAAGAAGGCTGACCCCAGCTGCCTTCTCAGGGAACAGCCCGCTAAGAGCCACGATCACGGGGCCCACAGCTTCCCAGCATCTCCCTGCCAGCCCCGCTTGTCCACCTCAACACTGTCCTCCAGGCCCCTTGTTGTCCAAGCGCTGATCAAGCCCGCCGAGTATGTCCCCAGGGCTCCACCTCTAGGTCCTCTGGTCAGACTAAGGAGTAAACCCAGTGGAGGTCCCTCCCATTCGGAGAACTGTTGTGACACCTCCCTCCCCCCCGTCCCCCATAGGGCTGGTGAGATGGCCTTGGTGGAATACCCAAGCCAGCCAAAAGCCACTATTGGTGCTACTGCTGGATCACACCACCCCTGAGACTGGGCCTGGGCTCTAACTTCTCCCCAGAGCAGGTCTGCACACACACACACACACACACACACACACACGCACGCACCCCAGTTTTCTGTCTGCTTTTTGCCACACAAGTCCTCATGGCAAAGAGAACCAGCCTGCTGATGGCTAACATGTACTGACCACTAACCCATATCAGGCACCCTACTAAGTGTTCTACTCAAATGGTCTCATTTCATTCTCTCTGCAATCCTACCAGGTGGAGACTATTGACTCAGAGATGTTAAGCTATTTTGCCTGATGTCACACAGCTGGTAAATCCAGAATTGGACTCCAGGATTCCCTGAATCCAAAGCCCAGGTTCAGAACCTCACTCCTCCAGGGGTGGTCCATGGGCCAGCAGCATCGGCATCACTGGAGACCACGTTAGAGATGCTCACCCCAGACCTGCCGCATCAGAAGCTGCATGTTAACACGTTCCCAGGTGATTCACATGCCTGTTTCAGTCTGAGAAGCATGGTGTGAAGCGCTGTTTTCCAAGGCCTGCTGGTCCTCAACTGTTGTAACCACCTCTTCCCCCGATCTCTCAAGGCCCTTCCCAGCTGCCTCGGTCTTGCTCCACAGGTGGGGGAGGCTCTCTGCCCAGCCTGGGGAAGAAGCCTGAACCCCGGGCTCGGAGGGAGTCTGCAGGCCCCCCGCGGCCAGTCCAGGCTGCAGCTGGACAACATCAATCCACGTCTGGCTCTCTGTAGGGCGTGCTGCCTGCTGCCCGAGACTCTCCTGACCCCTCCCTCTCGTCTTCCCTCTGAGACACAAGTCTCTTGGCCTCTGTCTAGTGCTCTTCTGAAGGTGGCCTCTGGCCATCACCAGTCCCTGCAGTGTCTCTCCTCCCTGGACATTTTGCACCGTCCCCCCCCCCCCACAACCA